AAGAACTGAAAAGACTGGGTCTTCAAACAGCAGACCATTAAAATAGATAATTAGTGTTTATGGACTGTAAGTATGCGGTAGCTGAGTATGTCTTCTAGCTCAAATGAAACCACATCAGAACACATGCTTCCAGGTAGGGCATTAAAGGGACCTAAGCCATCACAGTAAAATGCCCAATGAAAAGAATAAATTCACTCTGAGACTAATAGGTATATCATCCAAGCAAAAGAAGCTGTTATGAGGATTCATCCACATTTACTCAACTGATGAAGTCAAAACATTTGTAAAACTCAAGTGCAATTCTGAGTTAGTTATCAAAATCCTTCATTTACAGAAAAGAAACTCAGGCAGAGAAGGAGCACCTTATCCAAGCTTACACTGCCAGTCAGGACCCACACGAAAACTAACTCTCTTCATTTTAGCTCCATGTGCAAAACACACAACAACAAATCTTAAAATTAAAAAGCCACATAGCAGACAGACAAGAAATATTTGTTAATGGAACTAAGTAAACAGAAATGTGGGATTCCAGAACTATCTTGATATACCACCTACTGACAGGAAAAACCAAGTAATTATTCTGACTTTGTCTTTGACTTGCCAAACATGGCCTAGGCTTAATACTACAAAGCATCCCTTGTGCAATCAATAAAATGCTATTGGAACAATTATTGAAGCATGCAAGTTGGTGATGAACCAAGCACTTTGTAGCATTCTTAGTAAGGAGAGAGCATTTGAATAAATCTATTAAAACAATACTGGTTTCCAAACACTTGAAGTGCAGCTTCAATGGGGAAATCTGTAAAAGGCAGGGATGACTAAGCAACCCAAATAACTAGAAACACCAGAAATTGTCAGAAGTCTGAGGACCAGAACATGTCTGTACATAAAGATAAGTTGGAGTTTCCCATCTATTGCTCCTAGCCTTAAATGGGGGGGGTGGGGGCACGGAGGCAGGGGTCTTTGTATTATAGTGTTGGTTTCTTTTGAAATAAAAAGCTTTAGTGGTTTAAAAGGATTTTCAGGCAATATTTTATTCCATCCTCCACCCCACCCACTTAAGAAACCAATTTTCAGACAATCTGTTTGAACTACTGGGCAGGCAATTGGCCAGCCCAAACTTCAAGCAATCTACAGTGCACTTTTTGAAAAATTCGATTATGTATCTCACCAAGAAGACTCTTAAATCTATAGTTTAACTCTTAGCTAAGAAAACCAAGTTTCAACAATCATGTAAAACACATGTGCTACATGTCCTGTTGACTGGGCTGTCAAATACACTACTGAATTTTTCCATAAAGTCTGACATCTCTGGCTATTTAACTTCTCCTCTTCTTTTATGAAAAAAAAAAAAAACTTGCTAAAAAATTTCAAGAACATTCACCAAACAGAATAGCTAAAAATAAAAAGACTACAATATGCAGATCCCCAAGATGAAATATACCACAGCATTACAGGTGGAAAGAAAACGCGAATACACTTATTTACATAAAGATGTAAAAATATTTATGGCCCCCTACCAAGAAAAGAGACAAAAAACTAGCAACTCTGGCACAACAGGACAAGCCTGGTTCACCGTTCTCTTTGCGCAGGTATAAAACTAAAGAAATGTAGTTGGCGGCGGGGAAGGGAGGGTGGAGAGCCATTCCCTTGAACTTGTTTCATTCAGGAACTAGTTTAGCAAACCAAAGCGGCCGAAAAATCTCCCGACCAAAAACATAACCAGGCTGAAGGTCCCAAATCAGGAAGAACTAAACTAAAGGAGGGGGACCCCCGAAGCTCTTATACAACCCGCTCCCCAATCTCCCCAGCCACACAACAGGAGCTGGGGGTTTCCCTCGGACTCCATTTTCCGCCGCGCCGTCTCGCTCTCCTCAGGGTGGGCATGTGAGTGAGCCTGGGGTCCCACACCCACCTTTCCTCCCCGCCCTTTTCATTGTTGTCCAAGTGTGATGGATCACCTGCCCGGCGCGGGCTCCAGCGGCGGACACGCTGCGCGCCGAGACGCACAGAGGCGAGCGCTCCGCGCCCCCCGCAGCACCCGCGTCCCGGCACCCGGCGCCCTGCGACCCCAACCCGTGTCCGGACCGCGCCGAGCTCACCGCCACGAAGCCCGAGGAAGACGCGATGAATACGCGGATGACCATCCTCTCGCTGCGCCGGGAACGGACCCTTTGTCCCCGGGCTCAGGGCGGTGCGGACGCAAAGGTGAACCCGGCTTAGAGGTGCGGCTGCCGCGCACAGCGCTGCCGTCGGGGAAGACCGCCGGGATGTGGCTCCCTCCCGCCCGGTCCGCAGATAAAAGCCCAGCGCCGCCCGGCCGCAGGCTGAAGGGGAAGGAGGGGGAGGAGGAGGGAGCCGGCTGCGGGGCGTGATGGGAGTTGTAGTTTCCGTCTCTCCCTAAGGTGGAGGGTGGACTGGGCGCCTTCCAGCCCCCTCCCCAAAGCGCTTTGATTCGGGAGGCGCGCAGGTGGCGGGAGGGAAGCCGGAGGCTGGGGAAAAGCTGGGAGTTGTAGTGGCGAGGATCCCAGCGAGACGAGGAAAAAGCAAACCTGGGCAAAAGGGCTCGGTTCAAAGTCCAAGCTGGGGTTGTGTATTGTGGTTTGTTGGTTTGGAGCATCTCCACCCAGAATTGCCAACAGACACGATTGTGCCGCGGCGACTCATTTCAGGGCCGCGGGCGCACTGGGCAAGCCCAGCGACCTGGGAGGGGCGGGCAGGGTTCTCAGCAGGTGGCGGGGCGGGGGTTGGGCTCGCCTTTTTTTTTCCTGCAGCTCTGGAGATTTCAGAAAGGTGATTCGGGTAAATGAGAGGTTTTCTTTTTTTTCTGTGGATGCTGAAAATTAGAAATCTAGATGAGAGCACAACCGATATTTTATTTTTCTTAACAAAACTGTAATTGTAGTAGAAAAAATAAATAACAAACGAAATTAGAATCCTGCTATCAACATTGGAAATCAGGACCCCACCCGCCCCGCTACACAATGGCTTCGCCTGTGTGCACCTAATATTTACAGCTCAGCCAAATCTGTGCCTTTTTCAGAACTGCTGCACATTCCAGCGCAGTATCCCAGGAGGATGCTGTTAAGTAAAAAGCTTTTATGTAATTGCTAATACACTAGGAATAGTTCTTTTAGCAAGTATTTGCTGTTTGACAAAAGCTCAAGCTTCTCACAGTTCGTGGAAATGAACCAGTTATCCCTGCAGTACTGTATTTACTTTCTTCCTTTCAGCAGGGGAGTTTAGCCTAGATCTGGGAACAATGTTAATTAATAGTTCTTAAACAGAAAGAAATTAGATGATAAGGTTTCTGGCTCTTTGATAAATTTCTTGCACAAATACTAATCGTTTTGGAGTATTTTTTTAGAGCAATTATGGCTATTTCAAGTTTATAACCTTTGGTATTCCTTATCTTAATCAGGTCATTTCTGTAGTAGGAATCTTTTTTTAATTTAGTACAATAACAGAAGATACAATTCTGGTGGGACTTTATTTCTTCTTAATGTTTAAGAATTTTATATATAAGTTTTGCTGTAGTAATATGTCTCTGCAAATGTAATTTTGCTACCATAAATGTGGAATAAAATAATTTTCTTAAAAGTAGATACCATATTTCCTGTATAAGTACAAGTCTTTATTAAAATCAACATTTTCTTCAGCTTAGAATTACTCAGCTATGAAGATACAGTTAAACTCAACAAATTGGAACTCAGAGGTTACTCTGTGAAAAGTACCAGAGTGGATAAAAAGTTGAGTAAGTCATTTCCTCAGTCAGCAGAGCACCTATTGTCTGTGAAAGAAAAAGACAGGTACAAAAATAGCAACAGAACAAGACACAGTGTGCCAATGGAGTGTTGGGATAGAAAGGAAAAAGAAGGAAAAGGTGGCTTTTTATAGAAGGGACTTTAAAGATGAGTAGAATTTCTTCCTGCAGATAGGGAGGATGCAGAGTGGGAATATTCAGAGTGTGTGAGGAAAATAACAAAGAGTTGGTTTTGCTTCAGAAAGTGATATGAGGGAACCAGTAGAGGACAATGCTAAAAAAAAAAGTAGGTTTGAATGAATGCAACAAGGTTGCACTGGGTTGCCCAGCTCCTTGCATTTTTCTGGGATCTGTTCCTCTGCTCTCATCCTAAAGGTTGTAAGGGTCCCGAAGCCCTGTTCATACAGCAAGACGTAGCCCCCTGGCCACAGCTGATTGGTCTAGGGGTGAGCAAGGCAAGGCAACATCCCCACCCTAAGGATTTGGAATTGGGACTGGGAAAGCAAGAGAGCTTGAATTTGTACCTTAGAAGCTCAGAGCTGTCAGAAGCCACGTTCCAACATGGGAATCAGAGAAGCTGAAGAAGCTATTAAGTCCGAAGAGAATAACAGAAACATATTAGAGTTGGAGAGTAACAGCTATAAATCTCAGAAAGAGTCCTGACAATGCTTTAATCTAGGGGTCCTCAAACCATCACCTATGCGTCAAATCTGGCTGGCTGGCTGTTTTATAATAAAGTTTTATTGGAACATACTACATTTTGTATTGTCTATGGAGTGACAAAGCATAATACATTTACATCTGGCCCTTTACAGAAAAAGTTAGTCAATTGCTCTCTGTGGTTCAACCTGTTCCTATATCCCTGTTCTGGATGGCTGTGTAATATCCCTGTATCTGTAAATTTCTCATCTTGCTTAAGCCACTTCAAATGGGTTTTGTTTTGTGCAACCAAAAGTGCACTGAGAAGTTTGTACTTTATAAGTATTCTGAGAAACAAAGATATAATCAGAACTATACTTCAAGCAGATTACTCTGGTTATTACCTATTTTTGTCCACCCTAGATGAAAAGTTTCATCTCTAGAGCTTGTATGCAGGCCAAAGTGTGTTAACACTCCAGGAACCAAACAAGGCCAGTGTGGAATTGAGACCTAGAGTTAGTAAACAAAGTGGAAGAGTGACCAAGAGCAGAAAGCAATCTGGGCTATAAGGTAGAGATCCAAGATCAAACACCAGGGTATCAGACCACAAAGAAGATTAGATGCAGATCTGACAAGTAAAGTCAAGGATAGAGCTGGCAGCTGAAACTTAAAGACAGGACTCAGAAAACTGAGCAGGTCATTAGGCTTGAGGGAAGTTGCCCTGTGTTGCCTAGGACTTGATCCCCTTTACAAGTCGTGAGAAAATGTCTGGCCACAGTGTTTTAAAGCAGGGGTTCTTAGGCCAGGCGTGGTGGCTCATGCCTGTGATCCTAGCACTCTGGGAGGCTGAGGCAGGAGGATTGCTTGAGGTCTGGAGTTTGAGGTTGCTGTGAGCTAGGGTGATTCCACTGCACTCTACCTGGGGCAACAGAGAGAGACTCTGTCTAAAAAAAAAAAAGTGGGGGTTCTTAAATTTTTTTGATTGTAAGGAGGGGTGCCAAGGACCCTTTAGCAATCTGGTGAAGTCTATGGGCCCTTTCTCAAAAAATAAAAAGTTTCTAAATATAGAAAATAAAAAATTACAGGATTACAAAGGAAACTATATTGCAAAACGGTTAACAAAATATTAAATTTTTGATATGGTAATTTCTATGCTTCTTTATTAATGCATTAAATATCAAAATCTAGTGATGTGTCAAATAGCCACCACAATTTTGAAGTAGTAATGAGAAAAAATAAAACTTTGACATATTTGCAACAATTGGAAAATATGAAAATACCTGTGATTTCTATTGGCAACAAGGTCACCAGTGTTGCTGCTATTACAGTGGTTTGTTCCCTATATTCATAATTGAAGGAATTGGTAAATTTTAGTTAGTTTAATGAAAATATAAAGATCTGATTTCTTTTCTCATTCAAATGCATGAACCCCCTACATTCTATCCACAGGTACCTTTAGGCTAGGAGTGAGGGGAGGTCTGAGCACCCCAGGTTAGGCAATTATGATGTCTAACTATATCCAAATCTGTAGAAGCCATGATTTTGCCTAAGAAGAAAGTATGGAAAGAGACATGAGAGTCTACATTTAAGAATTGGAAGAGCAAAGAATTAAAAAGAATGGAGAAGAAATCAGTATAAAACTGAAAGAGCATAGTATCACAGAACCCAAAAGAAGAGTTTTAAGTTTCAAAAAGTAGAGAATAGCTAAGTATGTTAGCCTAGAAGTCATGAAAGAGTATAATGAAAATGGAGGCTCTGAGTTTGTCATTTAGGCAACCTGAGTTCACATTCCAGCTCCGCCCCTTAATACCTTGGGCAAATTTCATCATCTAAGGCTTGATTTTCTTTTCTATAAAATGGGTATAAATAATGGCTCTCACTCAACATTGCAATGAGCATTAATAGTGCTTAGGATATTATCTAAGTTATGCCTTCTAGTGCCTGTCAACCCACAGCCCTTCAAAAGGAAACTTCCAGTCCACCTGGTCACAGAAGTTTGGACCACATCTATGTACTTCCCCCATCATGACCTATTGCAACTTGAAAGTAATTTATGACATATATGATCAAGCTTGAAAATACATGCTGTTCCAGCAAATTCTTCTTTCAGGAATTTACAGTTGGAAATTTTATTTATTAATATTTATTTTAGAGACAGGGTCTTGCTCTGTCACCCAGGCTGGAGTGCAGTGGCACAATCATAGCTCACTGCAGCCCCAAACTCGCGGGCGCAAGCCATCCTCCCACCTCAGACTCCTGAGTAGCTGGGACTACAGGCACACACCACAGTGCCTGGTTTATGGTTGGAAAATTTAAAGACTAAGGCAGTTGGCAGTAAAGGAGGATGCTGTGGGGCTGGCGTGGGGTTGGGATGAAACTCTTTGATCAATTTGAGGCAATGAAGGGATTGAAATGATGACTAAGAAGAGGAAGCCAGTCTTGCAAGTAGCAAGAGGAGCATGGAGTCACTATGTAGTGAGAAGCAGAGATACTAATACGGAGGCTGGCTTCTAGTCTTAGTTGTTCTGAATCCAAGTCTGGCATAGTTCCTGCACCTGAATTGCTGTTTCATAACCCTCCTTTCTTGAGCGAGATTAAATGGGCCTCTTTTCCTAGCTACTATATAATCCTTCACAGAATACCCACGTAAAGCGTGGAGAGTAAATCGTGCTCCCTGAGCGGTCAAGCAGGTGCCAGAATGAGGAAGGTGAGGAAGGTCCCTCCTTAAATTCACTTTGTGCGAGAGGCGAGCACTGTGAGGACTGGAGCAAGCTGCACGTCTCGTTCAGATTTTTATCTGAAATACTCTGATTTTTCAGTGTTGGCTTGATTTTTAAAAACTGAGCCCACTAAACGAAAACTATCCACAGTTACAGCCCTGTGGTTCTCCAGGTTTCTCTGTCCAGCATGAGGCACTGAGCCTAGGGGTTGGCACCCAATAAATCCACA